TGTGGATATATCTACCATACCACTCACAGATGAGGAGAAAGCAGCCAATGATACCATGAGGGCAGATTTATCGGCTGATATTCACGCTGATGAAGACATCGGCTCGAGCATCCTTGATAATATTATCGACCCGCCAGAGACCTTCCTCAACCACCCCGACTACGACCCAGAGGATGGCACAAGATGGATCTTGCAATCTTACGACCACCGCATATACCGCTGGACGTCGGAGTTGTTGGTGGATTCACCTATGTTAAAAGTGATACACATTATCGAGGTACACACTGGCAGGGACAAGATTGTGTTAACATACAATTTGGACCAAAAACAGACATATACCACATGGATTACAATCGTACCCACAAATGGGCACGCGACTTACCGATTTGCAGTGCAGATCGTTTCTTCAAGAAGATAGTACACTACCTGGACCCAGAGGTCATTGAGGAATCGACCACAGGCATATTTCAATGGATTTCCAAAGTGTACCAAATCATATTGTTGGACAGCATCAAGGAGCTAGGTGATTTTACAAATGATGATATTTATCAGAACCATCCTGCCCTCAAGACGTTGCGCGATCTCTTCGCAAAGTGTATCCAGACACATGGCAATCCAGGCTTTCCCGTATGGCGGGAGCCGGTGGAGACACCTGCCGCGCCTCATCAGGACGATCCAGGCGCTGAGCAGGATATTCCCCGGGACCCAGGCAGCGTTGCTTCCGCAGCTCCAGACCAAGAAACCATGGTACAGATCATAGCCGAGAAAAAGAGGATCGACCGCAAGATGGGCGACAATGAGGCCATCTTGCAGGCAGAGGCTAACCGCATCCGTACAGACAACATACACCATGGTGTTACTGATACTGCGGACAACGACACCTCCGGGTACGCAGGACTACCGGGGGAGAGATTGTCTAGGATCGAGATAGAGGGGATGAGCCGATCGATCGCCTCCCGTCCGACCGCTGAGATCAATCGAGATGCCATGGACCAGATCGGCCGTGTTCTCGCCAGCGGCCTCGACACCCGCTGGGGACCCCGTGAGCACCTTGCGATCTCCGGGGCCCCAGAGGAGATCCAGCATGATATCGCGCGATGTCGGAATTGCGATCGTTTCTTATCTCTCGGAATCGTCGCAGGTGACGGTACAATTTGTGATATCTGCTGGCAGTATATTGTCGCTGTAGGTGCTACCGGCAAAGGTGGTGCCGCGGAGAGCGACCTGGCATACCTCCAGAAGTTGACCCACTGGATCAAGACGACCCTCTCCCAGGACGACATCACCAGGTACATGACAGACGGAGCGCAGGTCCAGATGATGGGTCAGCGCTCCGTATCTGGTAAGGAAAAGGACTCCTTGAGGATATTGGCGAAGAAAGCTGACGACAGGTATAAGAGGTGGGTCGAAGCAGGCTCCCCTCCTGCACACTATTGCAGGTTGATGGGCGAGACTGAGGACGACAGACCTCTATACCACCCTTTCGCTAATCTCGTTCAGCGTTTCTTGAGCGATGTAAAGTTCCACCACCAAATGACAGCCGCTCGTGTCAATAAAGGCGAGAAGGCTTACACTATTGAGGACATGCGTGATGCCTGTGGTATTCACGATCACAGTGTCAGGACTGGCCAAGCTGGTCGGAAGAAATGGCGGTTGAACACAGGCAGACTCGATAGAGGCACGAGGCAAGAGCGCGGACTTATCACGATTGCCCTTCCCCGCGGGGATGGCACTCGCGAGAAAGTCACGCAGCGAAAGCTGGGTTCGGTGCTGCCTCTGTGAAACCTCATGGGGTTTCTCAGATCTATTGGGGGGTTTAGTTCTGGGATATAGAGAGCCGATCCGATCGATCCTGATTTCCAACACTCTTCATGTTCTCATGCGCCATGGGGCCATCGGGCTGCCCGCGGCGCCCGCCCGGCCGCCGGCGACCCTGCTTCTGGCCGTTCAGCTGATGGACTACAGTGCCTCTTGGCGCGCAGGGCGACGCGCAGGGCGACACGCCCGCTGGGCCGCGCGGCGCCGCCGCGCAGCGGCAGAGCAGCGATGGCAGCCGCAGACCAACGACACCTCCCCGCGCCAAGAGGGCGCGCAGGACGGAGGACTACGCGACGTGGTAAGAGGTGCAACGATGGCGAAGATAACCGGTAACAACATAACAACGATACAAACAATGCCGCTGGCCATAACAAAATCACTGACTGCCGTCGGATCGGTGCGGGGCCTAGCTCCTCCTCGCCCCGGGTGGGAGCGCGGGCCGCGGGCAGCCCGCTAAAACCTAGAATGAAACTCGTTGCAGTTGCAGGCCCTGCTCGGCCCCTTTTTTTTTTTGCCGACGGTTCCCCTGGGCCCCCGGGACCCTTCAATGTCCTGGCGGCCGCTGGCTCGGCGCAGGGCCGCGGGGGGGCCGCTTAGACCTAGACCTGACCTAGAATGAAACTCGTCGCGGGTCTTGACGGTCCTTGTTGTTTTCCCGACGGTTCCCTTGGGCCCCCAGGGCCCCCAGGGCCTTTCTCGATGGCCCTGGCGTCCGCTGGATGGGCGCGGGGCCTTTCTCATTTCAAGACTTGGAGAGGAGAGCATGGTCACTTTTGGTTCGAGATGCACAGGGCAAGGGACCGCCAAGCAGCAGCGTCATTGCCGAAGGTGCCCTGGCCTCACCAATTCGCCCCATTGGCCAGATCGGAACTTCAGCCAGCCACTCGATGACAGCGAATGCTATCAGCCCCTGGGACGACACTGCGCAGACGATCCACGACAGATTTCCAGGTCTGAGTGGAAAAGGCCTGATGCAGATGGTTCGCCGCGTGTACAACGCCACGCCCGACGTCTTCAATGCGAATTTCTTCGAGAACGTGAACGGACAGAAAGTGCAGATGATCTTCCGCCACCCTGTAAATGACAGGGACCAGGAGGAGGCCAGGCAGAAGTACATCAGCGCGATCAAGGATGACGGCGTCATGGAGGAGTGCAGGAGCGACATCGTAGGGGTCTATCTCACGGACGAGGAAGTTCGGGCGGCTGCCAAGAAATATCACAAGTCAGGCACGGAGGTTGAGATGTTGAGGAGTTGGACGCCTTCACCCAGACCGAGCCTCGAACGTCTTTACCTCTTGGCGGGCGCCACCCTGATAGAGGCAGCTTACATGGCTCATGCAGAGGCGCCCGAGTTGCCGAACGTCAAACTGACCATCGAGACAGGAGTGAAGGTCAGCCTTCTCGAGTCGAGATCGCCACCGGACGCTCTGGTGTACGTCGTGCACGAGCTGAATGACAAGAACGCGCTCTTCACGCAAACGAACGTCATCCAACTCTACAAATTGTGCCCAACGATCGAGACGCACTGGAGGCGGGACCGGAAAGCCAAGCGCCTCGCAGGAGATGCGGACAAGGTGCAGGGTGGCGAGGCTGCTGGAGAAGAAGAAGACGGAGAAGCTGCAGGAGAAGAAGCAGGGCAGGAGGGGGCTGCTGGAGAAGAAGCTGACGGATCCACCACAAGTAAGCCCGCTTCTACCTCTCAGGCCTCTCAGGCGGGCCTCGAGACAGAGTGCAAGGCCTTCCTGGAGAAGCATTGCCCAAAACGCTTCAAAGCCTTCGACGCCTTCAAGCTGGCCCGCAACTTCAAATCCGAACTCGCGAAGCTTGGCCTCTGGGACAGGTACCAGACTTGGGCAAACAAGAATGTCACGTGGAGCGACCCGAACATCATCAATAACAACGTCTTCCGTAACAACTCGATTATCTTGAAGGCTTTCCAGAAGATAATTCCCAATGATGAATGGGGCGATCGCAGCAGCGATGACCTCCTGACGGTGCTCAAGCTTGTCCTGCCGAATAGCAAGGCGACCTTCAGCATGGATTGCAAAGGCGACGCGCAGAAGATCCACTTCTTGTTCGTCCCAGTTCCATCTTCCAAGACTTCGACGCCGACGAAAAACGCCAGGGGTTCGAAGGGGCCGAACCAGAGCCCGACAGCAACAGCACAACCGAAGGGCAAGGGAAGGGCAAAGACAAAAGGTAAGGCGAAAGCCAAGGCGGTGAGAACGAAACCAAAGGTGGATGAGACTCCAGAGACTGTGACCATCACCTTCCTGAACGACGTGCGACGCGCCATCGACATCGCAGTCCACGGCAAGGAGCGCATGCACGACAATATCGAGGCTATGAAACTACGAATCTTTCAGTTTGTCATCATGGGATATGTGTCCTTGCCGTCCCTGAAGAACGGGGGTGTGGATGACTTCAAGACATTCAAGACGTGGAAGACCTTGCGAAAATATGTCAAGACCAAGCTCGCCATTGACCACGCTGACGCCCCTGCTGTGACCTAGGTCCAGCGCTTGAGCGACGACTCCAGCAGCGGCATGTCAGATGAGGAGCCTGGGACGGTGGAAGTAGGGCTGCAGATCACGGACTTGCTGGCCCGCGAGCCCAAGCTTTTGTCTAGCGCGTTGGCGTTGGCAGCGGAGATCCCATCGTTGTCTGACAAGAACGCTCCTCCCTTCGAGTCTATGTCCATCCCGCTGCTGAAGAAGACTGTCGGCCCGGTGAGCAAGGCCATCGGGATCATGTGGCAGCGGATTACAAACCCGCGCGACGAGGATGTCCAGAATCTCCGAGCGGCCTCCTCCATCAGCGAGGCCGCAGACATCATGCTGACCTTGATCACGGACGCCGTCTGGGCTACTTTCAACCCGAGTGTCATCGAGCTTGGCACGTACTGCTACGCAACAGTCAAGGGCGACAGTGACCAGAGGGACCAGAAGCAGCCTCCGGAGGAAAAGTCAAAACAGTTCACGTGGGCCACTATCAACACGAAGATCAAGACGCTTGACCAGGTCTGGCCCAGCATTTCGAAGCTCGAGGAGTTCCTGAAGATGTGGGCCGTCTGCGTGAAACTTCTGTTTGGGGAGTTGCTTGAATCCTTCGACGAATTGAAGATCGATCAGAAGGTGAGCGCTGACATCCGCAAGAGCATTCCCTTGGTGAACGCCTTCGCCACTCGCTGCCCCGAAGCCGTGTCGGCCATCGACTGCAACAAGATCCAGAAGAAGGAGTGGACGGTTGCGTGGAAGAACATCTTCATGAACGCCCAGAACTTGACGTCTGAGGAGTTCGCAGGAGATAAGGACGACAAGTTTTACAAGGATCTCGAAGTCACCATGAAGAGCAAGGTTTCCAAGTATCCCAAGGCATTCCTGGAGACCGATTTCAAGAAGAAGCTGTCTAGCCACATCATCATCGAGAAGGACCTGGCAAATAAGGAGAAGCATGAGGCCATGATCAAGCATCTCGCCGCATACGAAGTCAACGAGGTTCGCAAGAAGACGGACGCAATTGAGAAGATGTGGAAGGATACCATCTCAGCGGTGATGATACAGGAGTCTGGGGGGCACGACGGAATCCTCGCTGAAGAAGTTGCGTCACAAGTCGATGAGGCAATGGAGGCCGTGACTACGAACGCCAGCGATGAGAAGACACTGGTGCAGTTCCCTACCTACGGCACGTCCGAAACAAGTGCAAGTCTGAAGGCAACAGTCTGGAACCCTACCGTCTATTCGCACGTGACAACGGCCGCTGCCTTTGACGAGTGGTCCTCCGGGCGCATGAACGACACTGGCGAAGGCGACCTGGCGATCAAGCTTAGGAACGGAACGGCATCTAGGCTCTACGCTAACATTCAGAACGCCATCGGCCATGATCTCAAATTCCATCTTCCTGGCAGGTTCAGCACATCTACCGTCGGTTCACTGGGCTACAAGGCCGAGGCCAAACTGCTGACTGAAAAGTCCTCCGAGAACTCTGGAAGTCCGAGAACCATGATTCGTCGCTTTTTATTTATTTATTTTTTTTTTTTCTTTTTTTTTTTTCTTTTTATTTTTTTTTTTTTTTTTTTTTTTTTTTTTATTTTTTTTTTTTTTTTTTTTTTTTTTTTATTTTTTTTTTTTTTTTTTTTATTATTTTTTTTTTTTTTGTTAGATTTTTTTTTTTTATTTTTTTTTTTTTTTTTATTTTCTTATTTATTTTTTTTTTTTTTTTTTTTTTTTTTTTTTTTTTTTTCTTTTTTTTTTTCTTTTTTTTTTTTTTTGTTTTATTCTTTATTTTTTTACGTTGCCGTCGATGGTGGCCCTCCCAGGAAGTGCGATGACGTCGGTCGGGGCTGTGCGCGGTCAGTGCGTGCCTGGTTGGATGGTGCGGGTCGTCAACCTTCGCAAAGGTGCCCGCGTGCAGCCAGGAGATGAGAAGTACGAGATCCCAACTATGATCGAAGGGCCCCCTGCCGAGGTAAATGTCATTAGCAGTGACGAGAAAACCAAGTTCCAGGTATTTGTGAAGAGCTTGGTTCCGAATCCTACCTACCTCCAGATCGCATTGAATGACGAGGAGCAGAAGAGGCTGGAACGCGAGATTATGGACAAAAGTAAGTCAGATAAGTCAGAGAAGTCAGATAAATCATTTAAGAAACGCACTTTTCACTCCATGATGGCCGAGCTGACCCGCAACCCCTTCGACGAGGAAGTCGACATGGCCGCGATTGCCTTGGGGAAAAACCGCCAGAAAGCTGCCGAGTCGGAACTGAAGAAGGAGGTGATTCTCAACGAGGTGGACGCAGACGTGGACGCAGATGCGCTTTTTTTTTTTTTTTTTTCTATGTTCAAGTTTATTTTTCTTGTTTTTGTTTTCTTTATTATGTTTGTTGTTGTTTATTTTTTTTTTTATTTCTTTGCTTAATATTTTTGTTTTTTATGTTTTTTCTTTTTTTGTCATCACCAAGGAAATGGCCCACCACCTCTTGCAAGGATTGGGCCAACGAGCGGGCAGGGCACCTGCCTCTGAGCCGACGCCTCTGCCCCGAGTCTGCAGGTTTCGACTGGACGTGTGGAAGTTGATTCGTTCAGAGCAGGTTTGACCCGACCTTTTGAGGAAAACATGTCCGAGAGCCACATATAGAAAAGTAAGGCCTAAGGGCCGTAGGGCCTAGTAGGCCTGAGCCTTGAAGGCCTAGTAGGCCTCAGTCTTGAGCTTAAGCAGTCGAGGAACTGGGGAGAGATAGGCGCGGATAGAATCCTCGTCGTCTTCCTCCTCCTACTCCTACTTGCCGTCCGCCCACTCATAATACAACAAGTGCAAACACAGACAATGAGTAGGGGAGTCAGGGCGGCGGCGGCGACGCAATGGATATCCTAAGGAGATGACTACGAGAACGGTGACGACGATAACGACTCGATGGCGACGACGGCGAAGGAGGGAAGAGCGGAGCCCGGGGAGAGAAACAGAAGAAATAACGACGCGGGAGATGGGACTGGTAAGAAGGATGTGAGAAAGCAACAGGTTGGATTGTAAGTCATGGTCGTGGAGTCGCGGGCTCAGCTAGCGAGCCCAATTCTCTAATGAAGCCCCCACCAACGCGAACAACTTATCAAATGGCTCTCGGACCATTCCGCCGACGTGCCTGGGTTGCGGTGGGGGGAGGCCTCTTGGATGTCCTTTGGGATCTCCTGGGAAGCCTATCGGTTGCCTCTCGGGCCTCTCGGGGGCAGGGACGGGGGCTGTGTGTTCGGCCCTCTCACGTAGGTTATTCGAGGCTTTGGGGGGGTTATTGCGGCCTCCGTGGGCCATGATCCATGGGGCGCCGTTGGGCTTAAGTGGTACTTCTAAGGTACTTCTACACCGTATATGAGCATATACACGTCATGCAAGATCACGCATGTAAGCTAAGCGCGCGTAAACTGATATACCTAATTACATCAAATATTTCCAACGGTGCATGCCTATGTACATACTTACGCACGGATGTTCGTGGCCACAAAGATTGGGTGGCCACGAACATGCACGCAACATGCACAGACAAGGACACACAATGTACTTGCGCATGTGAAATGTCACAACGCTGATGTGAGCGACACTGCACTATGAAACTTACAAGCGCGTGATCTGTAAACACCCGTGCGCGCCACATTGCACCACACCGCAAGCAAACATGCAATCGTTCATGGTGTCATGTGCAGATGCTGACCCATTCCGCCTAACTGTGCAACGGTCGGCTACGCAACGATATACATGATGCGCATCCGTTCCAGTTGCGAAATCGTCCCACCACGTGAATGCTTACCAACATCAAATCCCGAATCACACCAAGACATGGTAGACCGCCTAAATTTATGGATTGCCAAATCGGCACGCTAGGTTATACGGCACATAATGCGAGGGTGAATAAGGCTGGCGGGCGAGTCGTTGCAGAAATTTGCGCTGGCGAAAAGTTGCCATCACCTCAGCGCGGGTGAAAAAAACGCAGCGACACAACAATGGTGGATCCTTACATGGGCACAAAACCGCGCGAACAAAAAACTTCAAATCTAGCCACGCAAGCCATTTTAACCAGGAGGCCCGCCATCCCCAAACAACAAAAACTGAACATAGAATCGGGCTCTATCTCACGCACCCAGGCCATCGCATGCGACGCTGGCTACGACCCGAACGCCAAGGACGACGACCGCGTGTGCTTCACGTACCACGCCCAAACTGGCCGCCCTCGCGATCCCGAGGATGGCTTTGCCTACGTACATCATCAGCGCGTTGATCGTAGTGCAGAGTATGATCTACGTGTACCCGACGAATCCACTATTGTCGAAGTTACCCGTTCCGCGTCCGCCGACGCGACGAATTTTATCGGCAAAGTTGATGGAGGAGTCGGCGGCAACGCCAACTACGAGTACAGTACGACCACGGCTACGCCATGGATGTCATTCATGAGAGCCATGTGCATGATCTCCAGCTTCTTCACACGCAATTCTTCTGTACAAGAAAACGTTCGTGGCTTACATGATCACTTGCATGCTGTGATTCCAAACTCACACCGCAAGTGTCCACCAATGGAGCTCACGACGGCAGTATTAAAGGCAGAGTGGATGATGATGCACAACGATTGGTCAAACGTTGGCAGTGCATTTCTCGGGCAATACGCCGAGGACAGCGTTCAGGACACAAACTACTTCTACAAAGATGGGCTTTGTGCGCCTCACGATGTATACAGTAATGGATTGACAACTCCCAGCTACGCTCCTAAACTTGATCGCGCTACGATCAAACTACCCGTTCGTCCACCTGGCATGGCCAGGACATCAGATACTGCGGAACACCTCGGCCACGTTGTCGAGGATAACCTTGTCACCGAAGTGAGGGCGTTCTCCGATCTCACCCAGACAGGCACATTCCGCCGCAAGCTCAGTACGTGGTTGACTGCACGCGGAGGATTTGGAGGTACCGGATCAAGCCCCAAGACGGTGGCAACACCATCCGATCACCCAGACGGCTGGAAAATCCTCCCAGGGTACGACGACAATCATTGGCAACCATACGAGGAGGGCTCTGTGCTGCCCAGCGAAACGCCTACCAAGGAGGACCCTGGTCGTACTCCTGGTACTGATGTTGATCCGCTAGAGCTTGAAGCAAAATACAGCGCGTTTTGTGGTGGTCGATTGGTTTCTACCCTTCTTTCAGACAGCGGGTGGCATTCACTCATACAGGAGGACCTGGGACTTCTTCTACATCATGCATTTGGCCCGCCAGGGCGCGCATACAAATGGGCAAATCTGCGCGCGGACTCAACATGGACCATGCACCCCAAGAAGGGATCCAAGACCGCCAAGCGCAAAAAGTATCCCAGCCACGGCATCGACGAGCCCAACAGCCCACAAAAGCGAGGCGCTCTTGCTAAAGCATCAAACGTTGGTCTCGTACCTTTATTTATGCCGTGCCTCAATCGTGCAGAATGCATCGGTGGCGCCACCCTCGAGCACTTGTCGACCGTCATCCGCGACGACATTACGATGTGGGCATTCTCCTTTGGCAATTACAAAGAATGGTTCAAACAGAACGACACGGCGATTGGCCAGGACTGCATTCTATTGCCAGAGGTTGGTGGCGACGCCCGCTGTGATATGGCACAGCTCCGTGATCAGCGTGCGCAGACACAGGAGAACCGTATCACAGCTATCCTTGCAAACCAGTTCGAGTCTACACTCGAGCAGCGCAACATGATCCTCATGATCCGCAAGGCCAGGGGCTTGACGCTGATGAACGACAATGCTTCTATCAAAGGGTGGCGTATATTGAATGAGGTCATATGGGATTGTTGGGCAAATGTCTTCCCTGCATTTGTGAAACAAAGACACTACTGCAGAGGCCTCAACGCCATGGTGGTCTGGAGTGCAAACGACATTGCATGTGCCAACCACGGTCAAAACATATTGGACACGCGTCGCCATGAAGATCGCGCTCATACTTCCGCGCGCGAGCTCATGAAGATGGAGTGCGAGGGTGGCGTCCCGACGCTTATGCCAGTGCACGTACAAGTGGATCTATCTCGTTTTATTGACGTGATGCAGTACTTTTGTTGCCCCACGGTCACGGGGCCAGGCAAAGCGACACAATGGGGTGTACACCCGGACTTCGACTACCGCACGGGTGATCTGATCAAGACAATACAATCACGTGGTATTACAGTCCTTGCATCAGATCACTGGATAGATGCTTACGACAGGATTATGCCTCAGGCTTGGCATTCGACACAGAATAATCACAACCTGGCGATGTTGACGACTCAATTCTGCGATGCAGTATGCTATCGCAATTTCTGCGCATTGATCCAGTCATTACCATCTCAGCCTTATCCATCCAGACCTCCTATCCTGACTCCGGTCACGGACGCACAGGCCTACACCCAGGCCAAATAAATTATGGAGGCTCTTCAATGTCGAGAGAAGATAACCAATGAGTGGATGAGAGATCTCAGCCTCGCGACGCTGATGACTCAGACTGCTGGAGAAATGGCTCATTGTGCTTGGATGGCATCTTGTGCCAGCGGTACTTTGCCAAAGTCAATGCCATTGGCAACGGGCGATCCATGCGTCCCCATCCCTGGACTCGCAAAAGAGCCACCAGCACTTGATCCTCGCGATCCTACCAAGGCTATTCCTGGTAATGACCCATTTGGTCATGCATGCGACGAGTTGTTCAACTACCTTCTACTTCTGATCAACGACTACCCCGGGGCGTGGGCATCTTGGGATTCACCTGAGAAGAGAGAGCTCTTTCATTCCAAAATTGTGAAAGAAATTCAGGATGCACGCGCTGTTACCTGGGTCGTGTACGAGCAGTTCCTACAGCAGATACCTGATTTGGACGGCGATGACGATTTGACCAAATCACGCATCATCGCAGAGGGCAACATATTGAACTCTCATCGTATTGGTCCTCGTAAGGACAACCAAGACATTATTATAGCACGCAAAGGTTTCTTTGCACAGAACGCCTTGGATCGGCTTGCATTGGGGCTCGAGGCCGACGTTCCAACTACCTTCTGGCGCGCGGCAGTTAGGACAGACCAGCAGGCCGAGGACGGGCAGCCAGTGCAACCAGGCCCACTGCCTGAACCATTGCAGCCTGGCCCGCAGCCGATCCCTTTACCAGAGCCATTACCGACTGGCCCGCTTCCGATAAGCAGGCCAGCTGATCCATCGCCACCAGACCTGCCGCCGACAGCCGCGTCAGTCCCGATCCCTGATGACGACGCTGACGTGGAGGCGGCGGAGCTGGAGGCAATTCCTGCCGAC